GTTTTAAAAAATTGGTTTATTTTGGTCGTTTCGAGAGTTTTAGGGATTTGTATCAGTAGACGACAGACGAATAGAATTTTCATTCGTTGAATTTATTAATGATTATTGTTATTTGTTAGTAGTAATAATAATAAATAATAATATAGTATCGTTGTAGTAATAGTAATAATAGTAATAGTAATAATAGTTATAGTGGTGATAGGTAATCGTAGTAATATATAATAATATCGTTGAATTCATTGATTGTTATTATTATTTCTTAGTGATTTCAATATATAATAATAATGTAGATATATAATAATAATAAATATAGTAATAAAAATGTTACCCGTGCAAATTCTGAGCGACAGTGCCCAAGAGGAACGTGATGAGACGGCACGGTTATCGACTTTCGTGGGTGCGATCGCGATTGGAGACCTGGTCAAGTCAACTCTGGGGCCGAAGGGAATGGTTGGTGGCTTTGATTATGTGTTGTTATTGTGTTTGTTGTTTGTTTATTGTGTTTGTTGTTTGTTTATTGTTGTTGTTTATTGTTTATTATTGTTTATTGTTATTTATTATTGTTGTTTGCGTTTAGGATAAGATACTGTTGAGTGGAGATGCGGAACGGCAGAACGTGGAGGTGACGAATGACGGTGCAACGATCCTGAAGTCGGTGGGTGTGGACAATCCGGCGGCAAAAGTGCTTGTGGGTAGGTTCTTGAGGTTCATGTTGTACCTGAGGTTCATGTTACACCTGAGGTTTATGTGATAGCTGGAGTGGAGGTATTACCTGGCAACGAGGATTAGGTCATAGCTGAGGTATGAGTCTTAACTGAGGTTCATATTTTATCCGAGGATCATGTCGTACCTGAGGTTCATCTTTTACCCGGGGTGTAAGTCGTACCTGAGGTTCGTGTCATACCTTAGGTGCCAATCTTACCTGAGGTTACTGTCTATAAATTTTTAGATATATCGATGACGCAGGACGCGGAGGTCGGAGACGGCACAACATCGGTGGCGGTATTTGCTGCGGAGCTGCTGCGTGAAGCGGAGAGAATGGTGGCGATGAAGATACACCCGCAGGTGATTATTGGAGGCTATAGGAAGGCACTGCTCATGGCACAGGAGGCACTCCGCAAACACGCGAAGGCATCGACCGGGTTAGTTTTGACTGCTTTTGGTAGTAATATATAGTAACAATAAGTAGTAATAGATAACAGTATAAGCACTGCTCATGGCACAGGAGGCACTCCGCAAACATGCGAAGGCATCGACCGGGTTAGATTTTGACTGCTTTTTGGTAGTAATATATAGTAACAATAAATAAAAGTAGTAATAGATTACAGTATAAGTAACAAAACAGTAATAAAGTATAATATATTGTTAAATTATGGTATATTTTTGGTATATTATTGTAAAATGTTGGTATTATTATTGTTATTAATGTGGTGTTGGTGATAATTTTAAGCGTTATAGGAGGACATGGTGATGATAATCACGTAGTTATTGTTGTTGATGTTGTTTATTGTTGTTGTGTTTATTTATTATTATTATTGTTTTTATATATATTTATTA